TTTTAAAATAGAAAAAGAGATTGAGAACACAGAGTCCTCAATCTCTTTTTCTGTATCCCCTGTTATCAATGAACAGGAATCCTCTATGAGTGTTCCTGTTCATTGATAACATGAGGACATAGTATGTTTACTATAACTACAACTATGAATGAATGGGGGTGATGTAGATCACTCCCATTCATTCATAATTGAGGATATAGTTAACATACCATATCCTCAATTATGTACACACACTCAGCGATCACTGATCACTGAGTGTGTGTACATTGCTCTCCCCTCTGACACGCTGTCACAGGAGGCTGATCGAGCGGTGTAGAGAGGAGAGCCCAGCCTCCTGTGACACACCGCTCTGCCGGACTGTGATAGGCGGCAGAGCGGTGTGGGAGGAGAGACGCCGGCCGTTCACAGCGCTCTCGTCCTGCAGCGCTCGGCCGGCTGTCACTTTTTTTTCTCCCCGCTGGAGCAGCGCCCAGCGGGGAGAAAAGAAACCAGGGATGCGCCGATGTATCGGCAGGAAAATGGCACTTTCGGCATTATGCCAAAAGTGCAATTTTCGGCCGATATATCGGTGCATCCCTAATAAAAAGTCATATAACATGTATATAACTGCTACACTGATTTGGTGTTCTTAAAAGCCATCCCTTGCCATTTAAATCCTAAGCCAGATTTTCTAAAATTACCCCCAAAATTTTCAAAAAACTGGAAGTCAAATTAGACGCTTCCCCCCAAAATCCCATGAAATACTTTCTGAGAAGCTTCATGGCAAAGGGATTCTGATGGTGCTTTTCGTATTAAAACACTGAAATTGCTTGGGTGGACATATTGAAGGCAAGGCTTTCCATTTAGCAGTTCATATTGAGAAAGGACATACTACGGCAAACATATTTTTCTACAGGACAGAGAAAGATATGACGCTCATTGTATATATAATTAGCCTGCAGTAAAAAAAAATTGAAAAAAACTTTAAAGCAAATAGTAACTAGGGAAAGGGACAGGTGAAGCTGGGTATTTAATTGCATGATAACTTAACATAACAGGAGTTTTGATGCCTCATAAAAGGGACCACAGATTTCCAATTTGGCAAGCACATCAAACATACCGTTTATGGCCAAAAGAGGCAGTCCGATTCCTCTTTGGTGTCCAAACTCATGATAACTGTTGGCTGCATTCTCTTAGATTAGCAAGATCTGCAAGATTTATTGTTCGCCTTGTGTTTGTCGCCTGCTTGGCGCTCTCTAATAAATACCACTTGATTTTTGTTAATCATGGACAGAAGAATCTTATTGTCTACTAGAGCCTTTGTGCATAATTTATAATATGCGTTTAGCAAAGAGATTGATCCGTAACTACTTCATAGCATAGGGTCATCGCTCTTAGAAATTAGTATTTTGGAGGAATTTAGAAAGAGATCTGATGCAAAATTACCTTCAAGATGGACTTAAATGTGACTAATTTTGGTTTTGTAATAAATGTAAGTAAACCATCCGAGTGTTTTTGAGTTAGGGGTACATTTTTAAAATTTATAATTTATCAGCCCGTAATTTACTTACATAAAAAGTCAACTTTGGGTAGGCAGATTGTATTTACTTTGTACCTTTTGCTGATTGTGAGGTTAGACGATTCTAATTTCTTCACAGATTAAAGCCTTTACAAATAATGATATACCGTAGTAATAAGTAAATCCAAGATCAGGAATGTAACGTGTAACTTACCAGCCCTTACATTCAGTTTTTTTTTTTCCAGACTTTTTTTAATTTTATTTTATTTTCACCTTGTACTTCTGACAGTAGCAATCTTCCTGTTTTAGGGTGGCAATGCTTACTCAATGTATTGTATTGTATCTTTGGAGGAACAGCATGTTTTTAGGGCTACAGAATACCTCCCCATCCCCATGTGTTCTGAAATTTGCAGAGGTAAACTGGACAGGGCGGTTAACACTGCTTGAGGTAACACTGCACAGGAATTTACAAGCTTTCTGGAGGCATTTGTTGTACTTTATTGAACAGTTATAATAAAATGTTTTTCAATGGTATATTTAAAGGAGAATTATGAGGTGAGTGATTTTCACTCAGCCTCATAATCTGAGCCGACCTGTGACAATGAAACTGTCACAGGTCGGCTCAGTAGATCGGGAAGTGAGCGAACACATACCGGGCGCTCGCTCACTTCTCGATCCTGTGCCAGCAGAGAGCCGTGACAGGGGAGGGACTAGATTCCACCCTCCCCTGTCCGATCATCCAGCGCTGACTGGCGGAACGGATGGGGGAGGGGCCGGGTACAGCTGGCTCTGCCTCTAGATAGGCAGAGCCAGCTGTCACTCATGCAGCTGGGTGGATCTAGACATAATTGTCGGGATCCGTTCCGGCTGTAGCTCACGGTATACTGAGCTTTGGGTGATGGGAGGACGCTAGTTTGTGTCCTCCCGTTACCCTTAGGAGAACTATGGGGAAAAGCCTTAACCCCATAGTTCTCCTGTAACAAACCAAAAGGAAGTAAGGGAGTAAGTTCATTGTTAGGGTTTATATACACTTTTACAAACACAACCCCGCCCCTATAAAATACACCCAGGCTTTTATAGTAAAACAGTTACAATTAGCCAAAGTAACCAATAAGAATCCCTCTGCATGTGTCTGACTCCAAAAAATGTGAAATGTTCTATAGACTTCTGAACCTGTTTGCTTAAACAGATTGAAGTTTTCTATGTTAAGGGATGATATATGTTTAATTATTCCTATATTCTTGAATCTGGTGCACTGTTTTCTAAATGTATGCATCTTTTTGCAGGATGTTGCTCTTAAAAACCCAAATTCATTGGAAGCTTCACCTGCTCCTCATTATTATGCTTGCCTTGTGAAGGACATTGATAATTTGGGATGGGATAAGTATGTTTTATTTTGTTTTATTTATGTATCATTTTGTAAGTAATTGGGATACATTATTTTTGTTTTTAATTATCTAAATGTATGGTAAATAATAATTGTATACCAATATAATCAATGGACCACTAAAAAAAAATCCCATTTTTTTTTTACTGATGATCACTGTTGTCAATTGTTCACAGTGCAAAAGTACTGTTTTTGTACAAAACCGTACACACAGTTTATTAATTATATTGGGGGTGATATTAATAGCCATGTTTCTGTGTTTGCTGATGTTACTAAAATTGTCAGGGTAATAAACACGAGCTTACACATCATTACAGGAGGAACTTGATAAAATAGGGGAGTGGGCATCTACATAGTAGGGGAGGTTTAATATTGAGAAATGTAAAGTAATGCATTTTGGGGTTAAAACAGGCCTGCAGGGTACACGTTAATGGGTGCTACACTGGGGAGGCAGAGGTGGAAAAAGATTTAGTTTACTGCAGGCTTAACAATAGCATGCAGTGCCAGGCTGCAGAAAACAAAGCTAGCAGAGTACTGCCTTGCATTATAAAGGGAATGTACGCTAGAGACAAATCATTTTGCAACTTTACAAAACTGTGGTTAGGCTCATCTTGAGTATGTGGTTACATTTTGGTCACCAATCCACATAAAGGATTTCCTTTAACTGGATGAAGGGGCTGGAGGACGTAAGCTATGTAGCAAGATTGCAAAAATTAAACTTGTTCACTCTAGAAATTAGGTGATTTAAGAGCGGACATTATTTTGATGTACAACATGTTTACTGGTAATATCAGTAATAAACTTTTTACTGTAAACTCAATAAAGAAGACAAGAGGCCACCTCCTAAAAGTGGAGAAAAAAAATGTAAGCACAAAGGGAGAAGAAGATTATTTTCTGTTAGAGTTGTAAGGTTGTAGAAATCTCTTACACCAGCAGTGGTATTAGCAGAAAGTATGGAATCATTCAAAAATTGTTTAGATACCTTCCTCAAGGACCATAACATACAGGGGTAGATGAACTCTTAATGATTGAAATACACAGACACTCACACACGCTCACAAAGGTTAAACTCGATGGACCTGTGACTATTCAGCCTCAAATACTATGTACTGTAACTACGGTAAACACTTGTGGGAGTGTTTTTGGTTATTGGTGATAGTACTTTACAGTGTTTGTACATGTACCTGTATTATAGTAATGGTGATGCTTTCTGAGATGGTGGCTGATAAATTATGTTTGGGCATAATAAAGACTTTTGGCACATGATGTATGTTAGTTATTTGCTGGGAACATTAGGATCATGTTCCCTGATGACATTTGTTTGACTTCATTGATTAATTTTCCCAGTCATAAAGACTCAAGGCAACAAACAAACCATATGGTTTTGATTGGTTAGCTTTGATTTTCACCTTCTTATATTTCTTCACAATTACAATCTTTGTGAAATAACCAGCAAGAAAATGGTATGATCAATTGCATTGGTTCTCGGCATAAAGTTACTTAGCTATACATCTTAGTGCTTTTAGTTTTTTATATAAAAGCTGGAGAAATTAAAAGAAAAAATAAATATGTGCATGCAATGGCTGCAGAGATATTTAGAATGTAGTCGTGAAGATAAAGAATATGAGAAATGTAAAGACAAAAGTGAAAAGGGGAAAATGA